ACGCAAAGGATCCAAACGACTTGCACAGCCTCAAAAGCAACTCAGGGGCCCCAAAGGATCCAGGTTTAGGGTTTAGGGCTTAGGGTTTAGGGCTTAGGGTTTAGGGTTTAGGGTTCAAAGGGTCTAGGAATAAATGGAAAAGAAAATGGAACACGAAATGAGAATCAGGGTAGAAGGTTTCCGGGTTAAGAGGATGGGGTTCAGGGTTAAGGGATTAGGATTTAGCGATTGCGGTTTAGGGATTGGGTTTAGGGTGCGAGTAAGGCTTGTAGTCCCGCTTAAGTAGATAGAATATGGCTCTGGGTATATTTTAAATAAGATGCCCATATACCCCAGATTCTATCAAATTAAGGGGGACTATATAGTATACACGGGAATGGAAAAAGCAAACGTACACTACTATGCTGATTAGTGAGTACATATATGGGGTGTAAAGTTTGGGGGCGCGGGTTGTGTTTGTGTCAAGCATCTTTCAGAAACCGTTTCGCTTGATTTAGCAGGCGCGGCTTGAAATAGCTGCATGGCACTTGGAAAAAGCTCCTGCTGCCTGCGTGGAGCACGCCAAGGAAGCCCTAGATGTCTTACAGGAGCCAGGGTTCTTGTTGGATTTTTCTGCTAATGGGGTAAATACGGGGGTTTTATAGGGGTTAGATAGGTATAATGGAATAGAAAATGGCAACTACTATATAGAATTCGAACCCAAGTATAGCCGTATAATGATACTGAGGGGAGACATAACAGGGGCTCATAGTTGGATGAGAAAGTGCAGTCATACGTAGGTGATAAGCAGCCATGAGCCTCCATGGAGGAATAGGCGCTCAGTCGGCATTATGGGGTCTTTTTCATCAGCCTTTTTTCTCCTTCTTTGGACGTAAATATGCCAACCTATTGCAGGAGCCGGAATTGTCTTATAGATGTGCAAGGGATAGTTTGCAGGTTGTTGCCTTGTAAGGTTTATACAGGAATCATGGAAGGATGCATGGCAGGAGCTAGCACTGTTTTTCGGGTTGTCCTTCTGCGAGAGCCTCCCGCGAGATCAGAGGATTGTCTGGGAAGCTAGAGTAAGTGGTGGCATGTTGCTACCGCTAGTGTCTAGGTGCTGTATTGTAAGGGATACCCGAAAGGCTAACGATCTTGAGAGCAGCCCATCTTCCCGCTGAGTATGCGGGTCGATTTTTTGCTCATCACCCTGGAGCAAGAAACCTGGCAGGAGCAAGGTGCAGGCAGCCACCGTCAGCTTGAAGCAACTCGCCTGGCTTGCGCAGGGCATCTCGCTTTGGACAACCCCAGCAACGCCCAGCGGCTGGCGAGAGAGCTCTTGCGCTTGGCTCAGGTTGAGGCTGCGCCGAAGGTGCTTGCACGTGCCACCACTCTTTTCGCGTCTGTGCAGCTGGCAGCAGGCAATCTGGATTCCGAGACTGGTGCCCTTTCACTAGCAGAGCAGGCTACAAGGCTGTGTCGCGAGTCGGGTGATCTGCAGGCAGAAGCCAAGGCCGTTCTGATGCTGCTGCAGGCCACAAGGCGGAAACTGGAGAAGGCTCCGTTGTCTGGCCAAGACGGGGCCAAAAGGACATGTCTTCAAGCGATGCAGATTGCCTTCAGATTGGCTGAGCTGCAAACTGGCCTGCAATTGGCGGTGGAACTGCTTGAGCACCTGGCGGAGGTGATGGGTACATGTGGAACGGCCTCAGAGGCACTCCCACTCGCCACACGGTTACGTGCAGTGTGCGAAGAAGATGCCTCCCTTCATGCGCCAGTTCTTGCGACAACTGCAGGGATCATGTTCAAGAGCAGCCGCTGGAATGAGTGCTGCACTTTCGCGCAAGACGCGGCCCGCCTCTTTGAGGAGAGCGGCAAGCAACACCCGGCTGCCTGCGCCTTGTCACTTGTGGCTCAGGCGCAGATGAAGCTGAAGAAGTGCAGTGCCAGCAGGCAGAATGCGCGACGTGCTCGGAGACGATTCGGAGAAGCGGGAGATCACGAACAAGAGATCCGGCTACGCCTGGTTGTCGTGCGAGCTTGCTTAGCCAAAGACGAGAGGGGTAATCGGCAACAAAGGGATGCATTCCGAGAGGCCCAGGAAGCTATGAAAATGGCAGCAGAATTGGGTAAGCCAGATCTCATGGTGTCCACTCTTGCAGCCTATGCCATGGCATGTTACGAGATGGACCAGCATGATACTTGGTTGAATTCTAACCTTGCACCTGCAGGCTTGTTTTCGGTTGTATTATTATTGTGGTAAGATGAGTGTCGAAACCCGAAGAAGAGTGAATATCATCCTCGTGTGCCTCTTCTTGAGCGCTTGAAATGCCAACGCAGCTTGCTGAAATCTGGTAGTTTCCCAGAACAAGGGGACCCCAATCAGCCAAAATACTATATTATTGGGAATCTCAAAAAAGGTACCCCCCCAATTTTGGGAAACCCTAAACCCTATGAATTCTCTTATGTCCCTATATAACCCCTATTAAACCCTTTAAGGGACCCCAGTCAATTGAGATTGTAGATCAGTATTGTTCGGCATCAGGGCCCTTCATTCGCGCTCCGCCAGCTTTAGGTTGAGGTCTTTGTTAAAGGGTTTAGGGTTTAGGGGTTTAGGGGTTTAGGGGTTCAGAGTTTAGGGGTTTAGGGGGTTTTGGATTTAGGGGTTTAGGGTTTAGGAAGGCAAGTAGCTTCTGAGAGCGTGCCCAGAAAGTGTATGTTTCCTTCATTGCATGCCTCAATATCTTGTTAGGGTCCCTAACTAGATGATGTTCGGATGCCGCTTAGTCGTTAGTAAAGGAACGTTGGGCTCCAGGACCCGTGGTCACCAAAAGCAGCTAAGGACTTAGGGTAAACCCTAAACTCTAAACCCTAAACCCAAGGACAACTGCTGTCAGACAGTTGAAGAGCTGCTGCCGATGCAGACAGAAAGGTTCGATTGCCGGTTGACTGCGCTGTGACTTGCCTTAGCTGGAGAACGTATAGTCCCCCTTAGGTAGATAGCATATGGGGCATATCGGGATCTTATTAAAATCTACCCAAAGTCATATTCTATCTACTTAAGGGGGACTATAGTCCTAAAGCCTTACCCCTGTGCATTTTCGGGCTCTCAAAATCGCGCACGACCTGGAAGTTCGCATACTCCGGGAAGGGAAAGTCAGGGCAACATCGCTAGAGTCTTGACATGACCCACAAGTCCTCTGCTACCACAATGTGACAATTTTCTTTGCCATTTACCCTATATAACCCTATGTAACCCCTATATAATCCCTATATAGACCCTGTATCTCCCTATACTACCCGCTGTTTCTTGTAGTAGCCACCGCCCTGATCGCTGTTGCAGCACCCCCTGTACTTGTCCTAGATGCAGCTCATGGCGCCTGCTAACCATCAACCGTCTGAGGTTCTATGGTGCAAAGGCCAGTGAGAAGCTTGAGCAATACGCCAACGCAGCTGGGCTGTTCTTCAACCATCCAGGCTTTGTGTATACTTGATCCGAACAGAGACTAGCAACATGACATTTTGTCCATTAGTACCTCAACGCTACCCCTATCCTAGGCCAAGCGGTACGTGGAAAAGGCGTTGGAGCTGGAGGCAGCCATAGAAACAGCTGGCATCCCGGAGCAGGGAATCATTTCCGAAGCAGAAGCCGCTGCCCGTCCCTCAGTTGTTCAAGCGTGCTGCATTCCTCAGTAAATACGAGAGTTCTGGTAACCCCAACCCCTAGCTTGGTCATATTTGATACTTGCAGTGTCTTCAATGGAGGGTTTTGGAGTTACCAAAGCCGCAGGCATTTGGTTGTTGAAGGCATGTTGCAGCGTTCCTCACCTGAAGAAAGGCTCCAGCTAGCTTCGGTTGGCCGGGGTTGCTTGTAAGGAACTTAAAGTAAGCTACAATACTTTGGTTTAGGATTCAGGGTTCAGGGTTTATTAGATCCCCATGTACCCCATATTCCATTTACTTAAGGGGGACTACAACCCTAAATCCTAAACACCAAACCCTAAACCATATATTGCATCTACTTAAGGGGACTGTAGGGTTTTGGACTTGAAAACAACCAGCCGGGGGCTAGGGATGCAGTCACAAGCTGTCAGAATCCATCATATGGATCGGAAAAAAGGTGGTTTCCTCAGAATGGTTCTGTTTAAGTTCCCTAACACTAAACCCTAAACCCTGAACCCTCAACCTTAAACCCTAAACCCTAAACCCCAGTGTCAGGACATGTTCAGCGAGTGTCGGACGCTTTCCGACTCCTTGCAGAGGAAGCTCCTCTTCACGCGTGCCACGGCCCCACTGCTCGCGCAGGACTGTGGAAACCGAGGGTAGGATAGGGAGAAACAAAGGGCATAGGGAGTATATAGGGGTTATGTAGGAGATTATATAGTGATAATGGAAAACAAAATGGAAAGTACTATAGCAACGATAAGTGGATTTGGTAACATTACCGCCCAAATTAAGACCCTACTATAGCAATGTGGTAGTTACACAGTCCAAGAGTGGTGTTGCACAAATCCGCTTACTAGCAGACAGTAAGGCGCAAGTGACATAAGGACCTCCTGTTCCGTTGGATTGTTGTATTTGCTACGATGATGCATTCTTCCGAGGCATACCCAAGGTGTCACATTGCACTTAATTTTGCTCGGTATGGAGAGGATGTGACATATGGAACATAGTAGCTTCCACTTTATTTTCCAATTAAATTTCAATTTGATTCTCCAGTACTGAGATATAACCCCAAAATACTATAATCCTTACTATACGGACCCCCAAAACGCTACCGCTAAATTTTGGCAAAGCCACATATAACAAGGACTAGGATGAAATCCTCTCTTGCATCTCGAGGTTTGTTCTAGAGAGAAATCACCAGCAGACTCTCTTTATGCATTGTATCAGCTATAGTCCAAACTCCTTAAATGGGGTTGTATAGGGGATTATATATAGGAGTCTTACAGGGGTTATGAAGGGGGATACTAGGAGTTTAGACTACAGCTCGCATGATATTGAAAGGGGCCCGGGACACGAGTTTTGGCAGCAGCGCAGCATGTTGTTGCAAAGATTTGAGTCCCATGACGCCAGGAGAAGTGGCAGCAGGATGAGAACCGTCGAGCACCGAACTCGCAACGAGGTGCGCGCGTGCAGCGGGTTTTGACGTGTTTAGGCACACTGGGGCTTGGTAGGAAATAAGGGAAAATAATCCCTACAAGATTCCTATATAGTATATTCCCTTTTTCCCTACTAACCCCCAGTAAGTAGGGTTCAGCACTCAAGTAGAGGGATGCCTTCATAGCCAGGGATAGTTGAGATCATCATGCCCAAGGGATGGGCAGGCATAGTAGCTATAGTCATAAATTTGCAGAAGCAATGCCGCGGTTGCCGTCACCGCTGCCACATGATTGCTAGTTTCCACTTCATTTGGGGCTATGCCGCCACTACCATCACAACCGCTAGTCACCACCGCCAGGACCACTACCACAAGATGCCACCACCAGCCACACTACCGCTCCCACCATCTGACCTCAGCTCCTACTCCTTGTCGTGAAGCTCCTTCATCGTTAATGTCAAATGCTTTCACATCTCCACTTTCAATCCAAGACGGTAATATTGGGAGAATATAGGGTAATATAGGTTATATAGGGATAATTGAAAGGAAAATGGAAGCTACTATAGTCTATTGCCCTAAGCCCTGACCCTGAACCCTAAACCCTAAACCCTAAAGTTTCTTGCCCTAAACCCTTAACCCTAGACCCTGAACCCTGAACCCTCAATCCGAAACCCTAAACCCTAAACCCTAAACCCTTAACCCTTAAACCCTAAACCCTAAACCCTTAACCCTTAAACCCCTTAGTATATTGGATAGATTTCCTGGGCAGGCGGCTTCTTCACTGCGTCAGGTTTCAAGTGCCCGGCTTGTGGTCACCAGGAGCTGTGAAAGGGAAAGCTGCAGAGTCCCAAATTACGTGAGCTATAGGGATTATATAGGGGTATAAGGTTTAGGGTACAGGGTTTAGGGTTTAGGGATTAGGGTTTAGGATTCTAGGGTCCAGACTCCTTCAAGGGGTTCTATAGGGGATTATATAGTGTTTAGGGTTTAGGATCTAAACTCCTTAAAGGGGGGTTGTATAGGGGACTATATATAGGAATGTATTGTGGGGCGAATCAAGGAGGACACTGGGAGTTTAGACCATGGCTCATGTGGCAGAATGCTGCATTATTAGGGTGCGGGGTGATTTATATTATTCGGGGGACTGGGGACCCGTCCCCATACGTTAGGCAAGCAGAAAGATGCCCGTTGCAAGTCCAGGAGATGCGTGCTGCAAAGGTCTTTAAGCCCTAAACCCTAAACCCTAGTCCGTAAAACCGAAACCCTTAACTTTTAACTCTGACCCCTCAACCCTTAACCCTCAACGCTTAACTTCTAAACCCCTAGACCCCTTGACCAAAAACCCCTAAACCCTTAACCCTGAACCCACTGCAAAACCCTTAGCCCTAAACCCCTAAAATCGGAGGCCTCTTGGAAAGGCCTGAGCTTGGCATGCTTTGAACAGTCCCCTGACCCCTCGGACCCCGACTTACAGCGCTCACGCGGTTTAGGGTTTGGGGTGTAGGATTGTTTCCATTTCTTCTTCCATTTTCTTTTCCATTTGATTCTCCATCATATCCCTATATAATACAGCCCTACATACCCCTATATAGCCCGATGTAACCCAGCCTTATCCCCCCTACATCCTGAGCCCCTCGCCCTTGGGGAATTTTGACCAGGAGCCGGCACTCAAGTGCACGTCCTGCGGTGCCAACCTTCCATGGGAATGCAACTTCTGCCCTGACTGCTACCCGGCCAAAGACTTACTGGTTCTTAGTAGAGAATAAAGGAAGATAGTATATCGAGAACATGTAGGGGATACCTCCTCACTAATTACTAAGAAACTGGTAAGATGAGGGGTAGGTTGGACAGGCTTTGAACTACATCATGTATGTAGACTCATGATTAACACCCCCCCCTCCTTTTAAGGGCCTTAATACTAGGATTCCTACTATAATCCCTATGAAGTGGAGGGGGTTTATTAATCAGGTTTGGTTTAGCTATATTCCCCTTTCCCTTGCTTGGCCCTTTTGTGCCAACAACACCCAAAATCATTCAGGGTTTCATCATTGCTACATGAATAGTATCAGCCCCACCCCCCTAGCTAACAATAGACATCCGCCCGATTATGCACTCGTACTATGTCGGGAAAATCCACCCTAAACCCCAAACCATACATCCTAAGCCTTGGGCCCTAAACCCTAAACCGTAAATCCTAAATCTTTAGCCCTAAACCCTGAACCTTACATCCTAAGCCTTAAGCCCTAAACCTTAAATCCTCAATCTTAAGCCCTCAACCCTAAACCTTAAATCCTAAATCTTAAGCCCAAAACCGCAGGGGATTCGTTGCTGAGGCGGGGCCAGGCAGCCGACCAACAGGTCTGACAGGAAGAGCACGGCCGAGACCAAGCACGAGGCCGGAGGGCCTAATATAGGGGTCTAAATATTTACCAATATTATGCTTCCATATTCATTGCATAATTATAGTACAGGGCATTCAAATGGGGGTTTCCTAAAATTAGAGGTACCTCTCTTGGGGATCCCCATAATAAGGATTATAATATATTGGGGTCTATATCGGGGGCCCCCCATTTTGTGAAACTACCATATAGGGATTTGGGACTAAGGGTCGGGGGCTTAATGCCTTAAAACTTTAAACCCTGAACCCTGAATCCTAGACCCTCAACCCTACAAGGGTTTGGGTTGGGTACTGCCCCGCCCCCTCAGTAGCAGTTGGATAATATTACAATATGGTTATATATAGCCCTTAATAGGACCCCTAATATGGACTGTTACTGCCCCTATAAGCCCTATAATCCCAGTTTCCATTTCATTTTTCATTTTCTTTTCCATTTGATTCTCCATTATAGGGGGATAATAACCCTCATAATATAGACTGTTACTGGGTGGGGGCAGTACCCAAGGGTTTGGGGTTCTTTGGGGTGTGTCTAGTCGAGGTGGTGGCGGATTATGAAAAGTGCGCGGAGGGCTCGGCTTAAAGGCTTCAAGGTGGGATTCTGAGGGCCCTACAGGTTTAGGGTTTAGGGTTTAGGGTTTAGGGTGCAGGGAAAGGAAGCCCCAAAGCCGGATATTTAGATCGGTCAAGTCTACAGCGCTCCGCAATGTTGGTGATATGGGGGGTTCTCGATTTTTTCTATCCCGCTTAAACATACGGCCGCGAATACTTGGGGTACCCACAAGGAGAATAATTTTCACAAACTACCGTATGTGAATGAACAGCATGAAAAATCATGGAGTTTCCAAGAGAGAAGAACTGGGGCCTACATGGAAACACTTATTGTTTCGGGAGGGCACCTGCTCTAGCAAGATGAGAGTGGTTCAAAATGCCCTCTACGGAACGCTAATAGTGACCCATGTAATCCCTCTGTACTCCCCATATATCCCCAATGGACTATTTGAATATTTGAGCCATAAAAACCTTCAAAACCTACATTCACTCATGCACACTTGGTTCCCCTGCATGCTGTGAGAGGCTGGGCCGTGACGCAAAAAGCCATCAATCCTATTCCTAAACGTTAAACCCTGTACCACAAACCCCGGAACCAACGGTGCCTGCTGAGCGCGATGCGCTTGCCTAAGCCCTCAGGTCTGTGAGAATATAATCCCTATATAATCCCTACACAGTAGCCCCAGTAAGCAATCTCAATGCTTTTGCATTAAGGTCAAGCGGGAGGCCGCTAGGCCGGCAAAGCCAGCTGTGCAGGCCTGGAACCAGTGCTTGGAGGTTCCTAAGGACCATTGAGGTTCTAGGGTTTAGGGTGTGGTTAGGGTTTCTGTGGGTGTGTTCCTATTGAGGCTAAACATCCTGCATGACATCAGTTCACCGTGATGCTATAGTTCCCAAGGTGTAAGGTGCCTGGGTTCATGCAGGGGTTTTAGCATCCACCGAAGGATTCTTAGATCGTAAGGTTAGGTTGAAGGGCAATGGCAAGGTCGAATGGAAAATGGAATTAACAAGGTGATTTTGTAGGGGGGATGTAGTGTTTTCTTCGTTTATGGGGCTTTATAGTCTCCAATATCGAGTAAGATCATGTTCTTCTTCTGAGTATCGCGTCTCATGAGGAGAAGCTTGTGGTATTCGGTTCAACAACCAAAAGCAGCGCGGATGACTCGAACGTGAATACTGCTGTTCCCTCCCAAGACCAGTCATATGCCAAGCTTTCCAATGCTTGCAGACCCCTTTGTGAGGGTCGCTTTACAAAGGGTTGTAGTAGTTTGTGACATACATGGGATGTCTTCAAAAAAGCCCATGAATAACCCACCTGATGACCGGGTCGCTAAGGGCGCCCTATTTTGAGAACTTCCCACATGGGCTAGGTACTCCAGTACTGTCCGTTTTCCTTTTTTTGGGGGGGGCTTCCTTCTTACAGCTGAATATTCGGAAGTGTCATTCAGGGGCTACTGGTGAACCTAGTGGGGAAGACTGCTGCTTCTGGAAATGTTCATTCCTGTAGCTTATTAGGGTGTAATATTGACCCCTCAAATTATGGAAATACCTGTCGGGTCTACTAAATTATGGTTATGTAGTATTTAGGGTTTAGGGTTTAGAGCCATAGTCTAAACTCCTTAAAGGGGGTTATAAGGGGAATTACATAGGGGACTACTATGGGTGTTATTAAGGGGGATACTAGGAGTTTAGACTATAGCTCATATGTTGGCAGTGTCCAGGGAGATTGCGGTGCTGTTGATTAAGATATTTCAGCGCTAGAGTGTTCTTACTGATTCTAATGCATATTGACCATCTAAAGCCCAAACCCAGCTGAGCTCCACGCCAGGGTGGGTTTTTGAACCGCGCGATGCAGCGAGAAGAGGATGCTCCTCTTCAACGCAGAATACAACAGATCACGGGCCAGTTGTGGCTTGCCAGCAGGTTCAGGCTAGGCTTGCAAGGAAGAAGCCTAAACAGGGTTTAGGGGTTGGAGTTCAGGGTTTAGAGAGTAGGGTTTAGGGTTATGGTGACGAAAATCGAAAAGAACATGCAAGATGAGATGAACACTGGATGGGATCATAGAGAGGTTCATAATTGGTCTTAGGATCTACGTCGGGAAAAACTCTACTGTACCCAATTCAAGGCTTCTTGCTTTGAAGTTGTAATTTGTAGTGCCCTTTGCAGTAAGTGTCATTATACGGGTTATGTCAAGGGGCTATTATGACTCCTGTAACCTCTTGTGGGAACTGTTGCAGTAATGGGGCATCACGTAGGGGGAGAGCCTATACATTTCCCTCCATTGCGGCTCTACATGAAGTATCACGCATCCTGGGAAATCCTTATCTCGGGTAGTACAGTAGCCAAATTTTAAACGTTTTGGTTGTATTAAACCCCTTCTAAAAGGAAAGTTAACATTTTTTTGGGGCCTGGGTACTGGACCACTAAGTTATAATCGCCCGTGTGCAATCGCGACTATATTGTTCCCTAGGATCTCCAGACCTCGTACGACAGCATTCACTTTTCGTTGTATACCTACCTAGGTCCGGCCTCCCTAAACTAACACCCTAAACCTTCAAGGACCGTTGATCCCCATATTCCTTCCTATAATCCATGCACACCTACATTCTAATGTTCAGCACATAATCTTGTACCTAAACCCTAAACCCTAAATCCTAAACCCCACCCTGGAAGCAAAGGCTCGGCTTAGATTGGCAGACGATTGAGGGAGACGTTCCTCTGAGCGACATCGGCCTCTCAAGCGGGGCAGCAGTGACTGGCTAGAAATAACAAGAGCAACAATAATCACAACCAAAGCAATAACAATACTAATGCTAATATTGATAGGGGATTAGTATGGAATGAAAGGCTCATGGCAGGAGAAGGAACAAGAGTAAGGATGCTTAAGGCCGGTCTTCTTTCCCGTTTAGGCTAAACCTGTATACTTTCATCTGGTTTCTATTTATGAGTAGGTAGATCTGTGCACCAGCATTCTCAGTTTCAGGCTTCACGTGGGTATAGCGTTCGAATTGTGATTCGGTCTTGTTCTTGTTCTCGTCCCTTGTAGCCTTGTAGTACCCGTATTCCGCTCAGAGTTCAAGCTTCAGCCTTGGATGCTTAGAGCCTAGTTAGGATAGCACCAGGTTTAACCTACATCCCTTTGTAGTTACCATTGTAAATGATATTCGTGTTTCGTAATACGCCTACCTAGCTGAGAGCCGTCCCTTTCAGATGCATGGCATCTCAATGGGACTTTCTACTGGACTTTGGTCTCCCAGCCATCTGAAACTGGGTTTGGAAGTGAGAAAGAAATGAGGCCTCAGGTTCAGTTTGGGGGGGCCAGGAGCCTTCTATGTGAACCATGGTGAACCTGCTGCTATTCCTGTGGCACCTAGGGCTCCTTCATTGTCATCACCAACGCTGAAGTTCCTCTCCCCCGCCCCCCTGCATCATTCCAGAAAACTTTACATGACCCCGACCCAACCCGTAGCTTCGTTCCTACAACTTCAGTCCCCCTGAAGTAGATAGAGCATGGGGCACATGGGATGTTAACATGCTTCTGGGCATTCCCATTCCATATTCTATCTACTTAAGGGAAACTATAACCCCAATATATACCCTTTTGTAACATAGTAGTTTCCATTTTCTTTTCCATTATCCCTATATAACCCTATATAACCCTATATTACCCCTATATCATCCTAAGAACCGTAAGCTAAGTTGGCAACCTTGCCTTCCCCCTCGGCCAGGAAGGCGGCAAACAATCTCATATCTGCAAGCTCCTCCCCCTTACTGGGTTGCTGTTAAGGAACTTGAATTAAGTTACTGTAATGGGTATATATATAGTAAATAATAGGGTTTCCCCAATATAGTGATCTAATTAAAGTTCCTCAACAGCAACCCAGCTTATAGAAGCATTCCTCACAACAGACCTTATGTATTTGAGAGGGCATTTAACATGAGCTACGGTCTAAACTCCTTAAAGGAGGGTATATAGGGGATTACATAGTGGACTCCTATAGGGTTTCTTAAGGGGGATACTAGGAGTTTAGACTATAGCTTATATGAGGAGGGGGAGGGACGTTTTGTTCTGTATGAGGGGATGACTTCCCAAAATAAGGGGACCCCAATATAGACCCCAAAATACTATGGTCCCTATCATAGGGTCCCCCCAAAAAGGTACCCCTAACTTTGGGAAACCCCCATATACCTATACAATCCTTATTATGGGGACCCCCAAAATGGTACCCCTAATTTTGGGAAACCCCCACTTATCATCTCACCCCGGACCCGGCAGTCCTGCACCTCGCCAAATTCCCTAGGCAGCCGAAACCCATGAATGAGCCACACTCTGAACTCCTTAAAGGGGATTCTATACAGTTTAGGATTTAAGGCTTAAGGTTAAGAGTTAAGGACTTAAGTTCCTTAAGGTGGGGTTATATAGGCGATTATATTGGGGACTACCATAGGGGTTATGAAGGGGGATGCTAGGAGTTTAGACTGTAGCTCAACTGGGTCTCGTCACACCAACGTTCATACAGGTGGTCCTTGTGCGTCTTTCCAAAACAGCGGGGGTCCCCCTTCTACAGCCGCATACACTAGAAGCCTCTTGTGGGGTCTTCAAAGTAGTTTGGGTTTCTTGGTGCTACCCGCATGTGTAAATGGGCCTAACGATCGCACCTCGAGCCTGAACCACGAGCTCTCAACCTGAAAGAGTTTTCCCCCCTTAAGTAGAAAGTATGGGGATCTAATTTTAATATACCCAAAGCCATAATCTATCTACTTAAGGTGGACTATAGGCTTAAGGGCTGGAAGACCACCCACATTCCAAAACCTGGAGGCGGGAAAGGGATCATGCTTTTGCTGCCCGAGGATCTCGAAAAAACGGCGAGCGCCAGACTTTTTTTTGGAAAGAGGAACCTTGACAGTAGAGCTTCAACTGCAAACCCCAAACCCTAGGGTTTAGGGTTGAGGGAGCCTTTATCCCTATCATTTGCTTCCCCTTCCTGGCACTTCATTGTCGGATATGATATCAAGTTGAATTTCACCCGTCGTAAAACGCAACCACGAAGATACACAGTCCAGATGTTGTTAAGAGTTCCCCATGAGCAAGCAGCCCCCTAGGCTCTAAACCCTCAACCCTGAACGCTAAAGCCTGAACCCAAAACCCGTAACCCTGAACCCGAAACTCGAAACTCTAGGCCCTAAACCCTAAACACCAAAATCACACCCCCACCCCCCCACCCCCAACCCCCCCACCCCCACCCCCCCAAAACAAAAAAGGAGAAAAAACATGAACTTGGCCAGCAAGGTGATGCTCCGGGATGAGCTGCAAGCAGATGTGCGAGGCATTAAGCTGCCTCCAACTTTGCTCCCTTGGCCTTGAGGTCTAAGGGTTCAGGGTTTAGGCTTTTAGGCGGACTCAGAAAGCCTGTTGCAAAAGGGTTTTAGGGTTTAGGGTTTTAGCGTTTAGGGCTCTTAAGTCTAAGGGTTCAGATAGATTGGGTCATATTGGGACAATGGAAAATAAAATGGAAGCTACTATTTAGGATTTGGGTCATATTGGGACAATGGAAAATAACATGGAAGCTACTCTTTAGGATTTGGGTCATATTGGGACAATGGAAAATAGAATGGAAGCTACTATTTAGGATTTAGGGTTTGGGGTTTAGGGTTTAGGATTCAGGGTTCAGGGGTCTGGGGGTTGGAATTTCGGGTTGTTTGGGGTCTACGGACAGGTTAAGGGATCCAGGCAACAAGGGCTTAAGGTTGTGGGTTTATGGGAAGGTTGAGGGGGTGTAGGGTTTAGAGTTCAGGGTTGTCTAGGGTTTCAGAAAGGTCCAGCGGTCAAGGTAACAAGGGCTTAGGGTTTTGGGTTTAAGGTTGAGGGGTCTTGAGTGTGGAGCTCTGGGTTGTCTAGGGTTTACAGAAAGGTCAAGGGGGTCAAGGTGGCAAGGTTTAGGGTTTTGGGTTTACGGGAGAGTAAAGGGGTCAAAGAAACACGGGTTTAGGGTTTGGGGTTGGGGTTTACGGAGGGTTTAAGGTGTCGAGGTAATGAGGGGTTGGGGTTTATGCAAGGGTTAAGGGGTCAAGGTATGAAGGGTTTAGGGTTTAGGGTTTGGGGTTTATGGACGTGTTGCGGGGTCAAGCTGTCAAGGGTTTTGGGTTTCCCTAAACCCTAAACCCTAAAAAGCTCAGGTTCAGGGTTCAGGAGGAGGTTCTTCCGCTCTAGGTTTACGGTCCGATTTTCCTCAGGTTTGTGAAGATACTCCGCTCCCCCTTAGCTACCTCTTCCTTATAGGGTTTAGGGTTTAGGGTTTAGGATATTGGGGTAATATGGGGATAATGGAAAAGAAAATGGAAACTACTATAGCATAATAGGAAAAACTATATTATTGCTATTTTAGACAATGACATGCTGCCGAGTGTCTTGGCGGAGGGGATTGGGGGGGTGATTTAAAGAAGTTAAGAGATTTCATTTCTGCAGCTCTACGCTGTTGTGTGTAGAGTTCACGCATTTCTAGAAATGTTTGGAGAAACATGTTCTTCGGCCTGAGAAGTACTAGACTATAAAGCGGATGCAGCAGGATCTTTTTGATTTGTGAGTTCCTAAACCCTAAACCCATGCTTTAGGCAAACTACAGTAGCCCAAAGGTCGACAGGTTCTGATCCCCCTTGAGACCTTGGACCCCGAGCCCCCCAACCCTAAACCCCCCCAGACCCTAAACTTCAGACCCCAGAGCGAAGAATCCTTAATTCAACAGAATCATAGGCTCCATTTGCTTTTCCATTCCCCTATGTACCCTTCTATAAACCCCTATATAGCTGCATAGAGTCCTATCTAACCCTACATAGGGCCCATGTACTCGTATATGGCCTTTGCCTCAAACCAAGGTTCTTCGACTATCCCACCATCAACGAAGTTTTAACGTACCTGAACCGCTAGCACGCCGGCCCGAAGCAAGGTTGGTCTGATGGCTTAGGGTTTAGGGGTATTGTTTCCTAAAATTAGGGGTACCATTTTGGGGGTCCCAATAATAAGGACTATAGTATTTTGGTGTCTATATTGGGGTTATATTGCGGTCATATTGGGTTTAGGGGTTTAGGGTTTAGGGTTTAGAACCCTGAATCCCAAGCCCTATTCTTCGAGAAGCTTCATGGGTCCCCATTTCTACCCACACTGGGTTCCCCCGTGCTTAGCTACCCTCATTGTCGTGAGGTAACCCTCATTCAGGGTTTAGGGTCTAAGAAGAACCTAGAGTGGTTAGTGGGGCGGTTAGTAGGTCAACCCATCAAAAACTTATCAGGAATCCTGGGCCCCTAAGAAGTATCGTGCTGTTCTGTGGAGCCGTTGAGAAGTAGGATTTTTTGTAGGAATTTGAGGGTGTCAGTCACTTGCAAGTCTTCTGACGGGGCTAGGCTTCGAAGCAAGGCTTCGAAGCACTTGCGTCGCATTTTTAGAGCTCCTGCTCCCAAGGGCCAACCAAAAACGATTCTGGGCAGGCACAGTTCTGTAGAGACAGGGATCATCCCTCCGTAGGCCAAGTGTTTGTTATGGATCACGGGACTTGGGTTTGGACCATCAAGTTGGACCCGAGAGTTTGAGGGCAGTTCATATGGATTTATGATGAGTTTGAATATGTTGTTGGGTCCGACTTCTGGGTCCCACCTTTGATCCGTTGACTGGAAGGTAGTCTAGACCAGCACAAGGCTGCAAAAAGTCGGAGTTTGTTCGCCTGGGACCTTCACAGCGCGAGCAGCATAGAGATCAACGTTCTCGAGCTGGAGGTTTAATGGTTTAGGGGCTTAATGTAGACCCGTGATAAATAACCCCCTTCCTTTTACGGGCCTAAATATTAGGATCCCTATCATAATCCCTATTAAGGGAAGGGGTTTATTAATCAGGGGTCTACATCAGGCTTTAGGGTTGAGGCTCTCCATCTTTGGGCTTCCATTCGGTCTCTTTTGAGGTATCAGCCTGGTAAACGGGAAGGGGGATACTAGGAGTTTAGACTATAGCTCGCATGGGCACTTTCGCAGCTTGGTTTTGCCCAATCTAACAGGTAATGCCATGCGGGGCACTTTTTGAAGAGGATTCAAGCTGTTGCAGGCCCCAGCTTTGCAACTTTCATGCTACTTCGGGGTACCCATGTGAGCCGTAGTCTAAAACTCCTTAGAGGGGTTAAGTAGGGGATTATATAGGGGACTAGTACAGGGGAGTATTATAGGGGGATGCTAGGAGTCTAGACTACAGCTCATGTGGGGCCTTGGAGGCAAGGACTCTTGAGTGCATGCTTAGCTTCAGATTGGTATGACCTCAGTCGGGATGATTACTTGGAAGGTCAGGGGAGCTCAGTAAGGAGTGGAAAAGCAAATGCAAAGAAACCATCATGTCGTTCAGGGTTTGGGATAGTGTGCGCTCGTAGGGTCAAGGGGACACTCAGGAAGTAGGTTCCATATTTGGAGTTATTATTGCCGCCAAGCAGTTAGATGCATAACTACTAAGGCCTATTCAGTCTCCCTGACCCTCCCAGCACAGGTTGACGCCCTAGACAGTTTTGGTTAAGGGTTTAGGGTTTAGGGGTTTAGGGTTTAGGGTTTAGGGCCTGTTGCAAAAAGGGTTTAGGGTTTATGTAGGTTGCCTGCAAATGAGTTGAGCGCCTTTCATAAAATGGGGACCCTAAACGGCCCAAGTGCTACTGTGTACATTCATTATGAAGATTTTTGGGGGTCCCTGTCAGGGGCTATATGAGGAGGTTGTTGAACAATCCAAGTTCTGGGTTGTGTCCTCCAGTATGTTTGTCTAGAGGAAGCATAGCACCCTAAACCCTAAACCCTAAACCCTAAACCGCGAACAATGCCAATATGTTGTTGTGGAAGTGGAGGGCTGCGCCCCAAAAGTTAGACGCCCCATGCCCGTGCAGCAGCTACTAGTAGCCGTTTCCTGAATAATCTCCTTTTCGTTTGTTGCAAGCGTTTCATGCTGGGAAGGGGGGTTAATGTAGGGGTCTCTTTAAATCCAAGAGAGATTTGGAGACTTTACTTACTCTACTCTAGTCAAACGAGGACCATAGGGAGATGATATTGGTAACTTGGGTCGTTTTCCCTTACAGTGACCGTCCTTAAAGGGCTCTTGTTAGGTGGCTATTCCTACAAGGGGCGATGATCCACCTGGTAACTATTCACAGGACTTCTGTCAGAAATTACTGCGTTGCTGTTAAGGAATTTAGATAAAGTTGCCGTAATGGGAATATGTAGTGCCGAATATGGTTCCCCATCTTCGTGACATAAATTAAGTTCCTGAACGGCAACCCAGATTATTCAGGCCTTACACCCTAAACTTTAAACCCTTAATCCCAAACCCTAAGCCCTGAACCTTAAACCCTTAACTTTAAGCTCTAAATCCTAATCCTTATACCCCAGACCCCAAAACCATCGTCCGAGCGCCTTGGATATCGACTTGCGGGGCGGAGAAGGCATTTTTGCTTGTAATTATTTCCTGGCCTCAACTGCCGTCTTTCATAGCCCTTCAAATGTAAGTATTATGATGATGGCTGCTGCTACGTCTACTATTCTTTTCGTTGCTGCTATTCCCATGTCTTGCAAGTCCTATTTGTATATTGTCATTGTTCATGGAATGTTGAATGTTGAAAGGAGCCCCAAACATCGGAGTACTTTTTTTCTTAAGGTTTCCTTGGCCACCAGTCGGTCACGAGTTGCTACGCAATGCCTTTTGGTATGCAGAGCTCCGCGCAACGCTAGGCCCATGTGATCCTTAAATTTTCTAGTAGCCCTAAATCCTAAACTCTAAACCTAGAAGACGTAGTTCAGCATTTCCAGTGGGCGCGTTTTCAGGTCCCAGCAAGGATCCATGCGTTCCAAACTCCAAACCCACATCTCAAATGCCAAGCCCATGGCCTTTACCTTCAAAATCCTGACGTACCCTTATTGTGAACTCTTCAAACTTGAATATCCTTAATGTGTCCGGTAATTCTGAAGTAAGAAACTAAATCACGCCGCATGGTCTTCTGTCGCACTCTTACGCTGCCGCACAGACAGCTGTCAAGGCTGGTGCTTTGAACTGCATGTGACAAAGGGATTTTACAGCGAGTGTATAGGGTTTATAGAGTGGTTAGATAGGGGTTAAGATATGAATAAACATGTATATAAGGCTTGGGAATGGAAAAGAACGTGGAAAATGCTGAGTCATTCAGGGCACAGGGTTTGGGCGGGGCTTTGGATTCTGGGCTTGGGACCTTGGGCTGCCTTTCAGAGACAAAGAACCTCTTAAGATTCCACATGGATGTCGCGGAGGCTACAGAGAATTTGCAGAAAGTTTAGGGTTTAGGGATTCCATGGACATTGAAGAGTCTCCTTTTCTGTGTTGAGTCCCCGCATCTTTTGATTCAGGGCTCCCCCAGCATTACACCTTCAACCCCAGATTCTCTCACCGTGACCTCACGCCCTGAATCCCAAAAGCCCGGCGGGAGGGGAAAAGCACCCAACCCCCAAACACTGAATGGCAGTTTCCATTGTCTTTTCCATTATCCGTATATAACCCTTATACTATGGCCCCTATAACCCCTACATAACCTCTACGAAGCCCCTATACAACCCATATATCAAAGCCCTGTACACTGTACCCGCACCAGCAGGTCCATCCAAAAGGCCTTGTGGTCACAAGATGCCCTGCGCCCAGCCTCGACGACAAGCTTCCTGCCCCCTCCAAAGCGACGCTGGTCGCCGCCTTCCAAGCGCCTGGGGCATTGCTATGACTGGGGAATGAAGGAATGCAAAGGAAAATGGGAGCTGATACATGAGCTGCTGTATATATTGGCTTTATGAAGGGACCTTTAACAGTGGATAGAGGGGTCCCTCTTAATTAATGCAGTCCATTGATTTGATTTCTATAGGGAACCATTCCTCCATTCCAGCCTAACGTGAATGTATGGGGGCAGCCACGCGGATTTGACAGCCATGATTTCCAGACACTTCCAAAATCATGGACTCAGGATACTGCAGGGTCTCTGGTTGAGGGCGAAGGGTTTTACGGAAGTTTGGGGTTCAAGCTTTTGACCAAAGTTCTGTCTTGCAAGCCGTTATTGCCTACTGCAATTTTCGGTGGGAGTATGGTGGAAAAAGCTGCTGCGCCCCAATCTACACAACCAAACTGGGGTCCCTGGCTCTGACCCTCCTCTCCCTGAGTCTAGGATGACGCTCCGAAGCCAAAGCCACAAATCAGCTATCTGAGCATCTTCCCCAATTCCCCAGTCTAAACCTTGAGCCCCTCAGATTGGAGGGAAGGAATGACCCGAACTCCGATACCCCTAAACCCTAAACCCCTAAACCGCGTGGTTTACGCAGCTGAGACTCCCAACATCCCTGGGTTTTGCCGCTCCACAGCTTCGCAAGTCGCGAAATCCCAAGGAGCATGGGTTGTCATTTAAATTTCTTTGGGGACACGGTACTTGGAGGGTCAGGTGCATTCAGTCCTTAGCAGGAGATGACTGGGATTACAATATCATTTATACAGGACTTGGTTTTTCCCAGGTGGGGCGATAAGTTGCACATGTTTCCATATGAAAAAGGATGAAGACGAGAACCCAGGAGCTCAATCGCAGAGCAGCATCCCGCCCAGCGAAGAAGACCACAGTGCCGCCGATGCAGCTTTTGGGCTCAGGGTCTCTAGCCCCCTTCCTAGTGATAACACCCTTGAACTGCTCATAATAGATACTTCCAATATAGTACACGTATATACATACGTATATATGTATATATAAATATATTATGTACACATATGTATGAATGTATTGGTTGGGCTATTCAGTATTATGGGAGTGGGGTTGATAATTAGCGGGTAGTTGATTGGCTTGTAATGGCTTGACAAACTAGCGAACGAGTGCCAACCCACGTGAACTTGGTACTAGATGCCGGAGAAGGAAGAACGCCCACTATCATCGTGATGGCAGCATTTTAAACCCCTACACCCTAAACCACCGAACCACCCCTGAACCCTAGACCCTAAACTGTGTGGAACGTAGAGCGGCCCAGGTCCCCTTGGAGGCGTCTCCAAGGAAAAAGGGAAAGAAGCATCGGCACTCGACGGATCTGGAAGACCTGCCGCCGCCCGCAGCTCCTGACTTGCCGGCGGTTCCAAGGTTTGGGCAGCGCCAGGAAAGGACAGTTTCCGCAAATTCACCAACCAGTCAAGGAGTCTAAACCCCAAACCCTAAAAGATGGGACCTGGTATACTTTAGAGGAGGGTAAGTACTTTTGGTCAGCCTCGACAGGCCCAGAGGCTCGCGCAGCGCCCCGTCGCTGCCTTGCCGCGCACTCCGCAGTTCTTCGTTCGGTTCGGCCCGCCGATGACTGCCGAGGACCTCACACACGATGCGCCATCCGTGTTTCTGGGTAGCTTCAGTTTGATTTGTGCCGGAACCCAATATGAATGGAAAGGTGCATGTTCAATCGTACCTTGATTACAAGATCAAAGGCTTGTGGAATCCAGAAAGCTGATTGATGACGTGCTGGAGCGCCGGGACAAGCTCCAGTCTGCTCCCGATTATGTCGCACCTGACACCCCCTTCTGGCGGGTTCCTGCCAAGACACGGAACAAGCGGGGCCCCAAGTGGGACTTTCAGCCGGAGGAGGAGGAGGCACCTCAGGATCAAGCTGAGGCTGCTGAGCAACTGAAGCTTACTGGCATTTAGTTTGCCTGGAATAGGGAATATAATCCTACATAATATCCCTATATTATGTATGAATCCTTTCCCTTATTCCCCACTAAACCCCGGTAAGGAAGGGCATTCTGGACCTGCACAGCGAGGAAAAACTGGGCCCTACGCCGGGAGGTCGCCGCAGGTCAGAGCCGTTGTCGCCCAGCAATGCGACCTCCAAGCTCGTTCGCCTCGGAGACCAGGCGGCCGCTGCCCCCGCGGAGGCGGCAGAATCTACCGAAGGTTCCTCCAGTCAGCCTGGCACACAGTTTATGGCAGATCTGGCAGATCATCTCTTTTTGTAGACATACATGTTGCGTGATGTTTTCAGCAACAAGGCCGGAGGCAGCGGCAAGCAGTTCTGAGCCGGAGCCATCGGTCAGGCAGCCGTCGAAACGTCCGGAGGAAAGCTTGATCACCTCTCTGCGCCAAAAAGCTGCAGAGTATGCACGAACTGGGGTAGACCCCGAGCTGGTGGAGAGCCTGTCTGAGGCTCTGCAGCACCACCCTGGCACGGAACGGGCAGCGAGGCTACGGGAGATGCAAAACTGTGACAAGGCCTTGTGGGGCATAAGATCTTCGGATTAGGTCCCTGAGCCAGGAGTTTGGGGTTTGGGGTTTTGGGTTTAGAGTTTAGAATTTAGAAACCTAGCCAAAGCGCCACAAGGATTTTGAAGCTCTGGTCCTGGAGGGCAGGGCATCTGTATCAACCATCAACGAGCTGATCCGTGCCCAAGGGCTGCAGGGCCGGATGGCAGATGCGATGCAGCAAGAGTCTGCTTAGCAATTTTCTTGTTTAGGAATTTTCCTTCCGTGGAGAATCAAGTGTAACAAACATATGGAAAACAATATGGAAACCCAATGTCCCTTTAAAGGGTCTTTTAGGCTCAGAGGGGATTTAACAAGGATTTTGGGATACATGTCAATATAGATAGATAGATATGTATATATCTATATCTATTTATATATATATAGAGAAAATATACTTATAGGTATAGTCCAGGGTCACCTGGTTTGTTGATAGGAGGGAATGAAGGAGTGGAAAAGACAATGTTTCAGTGGATTACAGAGGAGCTGCAAAATGGATCCGCTCCTCCATTCCCTACTAACAACCAGCAAGTCCATTTGCATTGCCCTTTGATGTGCGCTTTTTTGGCGAGCTTTTTTTGCAAAGCATAGGCAGACGCATGACACCATGAAGCTGCACGGCTATGCTCCGGACTCCGAAACCTTCGTTTCACTTCTGGCAGGGGCAGCCCAACAAGAGGATGCTGCGCTTGCGAGACGCCTCTACCTCAAGATGCGAGAGCAACTGATCACCGCAACTCCGAAAGTGTACGCCACCCTCATGCAGGCAGCATTTCCTTCCAATGCGTTGAAGGGCTCAAGCATGAATGTCCTCAGTGATGTCACGTAGAGCACAAAAGGGATCTTGCCCTTTCTTGACTGCCCTCCCAGTTTTCATTAAGAGCTGTGTTTGACTTGTCTTCAAGGAGAAGTAGAGGATTGGATTCTTAGTAGGACCCCTGATGCAGGCGCATGTCCGTGCAGGAGACACTGCTTCTGGATATGCCTTGCTTCGGAAGATGGAAGACGAGTCAATTCAGCCTGACGTGGTGGTTCACACCGTGCTCATCAACGGCCTTGCAACTTGCTGGTAACGGGAGTTGGGGAGGGAATTCAAGTCTGTTATAGAAGGATGTTTGGGGTTATACATGAAATATTGCGGGGACCCTGTTCCCCCCCTAAACCCTAAACCCAGGTGAATGAAGGGCGCATCGAGAGAGCTTGGGAGGAGTTCCATGCTGCCAGGACATGGTTTCTAGGGTTTGGAGTGTAACGTAGGGTTTACGGTTTAGGGCTTGGGGTTTAGGGTTTGGGGTTTAGGGTTTAGGGTATAGGGTTTTGCTGCCAGGACATGGAAGCTCATCCAGCCTGATGAGGTCTTGTTTACTGTCATGATAAAGGCATGTGCCATCATGCAAGAAGCTGCCTCCTGGTGAGATTTGAGCACTATTTAAAGGATGTATTTGAAGTAGTCCGAATCTAAACCCTCAACCCTAAATACCAGCTTCCATTTTCTTCTCCGTTATCCCTGTATAACCTCAATATCACCGCTACACAATAGTAGAATACATTTTCTTCTCCACTATCCCTATATTACCCCTATATACACTTAGAAGAGATTTTGCTAGGGATGCCACAAGCTGTAGGAGAGGGCCCTGAATTTGCTGGATGACCTCCGGACTTGTGGGCTCTACCCCACCGACATCACCTATGGCGAAATCATCCATGCGGTTTCTACCACGACGGACCATGCGAAACTGGGTTGCTGTAAGTTACCGTAATGGGTATATATATGTATATGTATATAGAAATGAATAGGTTTTCCCCGTATAGTAACGTCAAATAAGTTCTTCAACGGCAACCCAGGAAAAAGGCCTTTGACTTCTATCGCCAGATGCAGGCTGAAGACTTGCCCATCAGTGCTTTCGTTTTTGAGCACTTGCTGGAAGCTCCTGGGTTCAGACTGGTCAAGGGTCAATAGTATATAATAGTATATTATGGGGGTATTACATAGGCGTATAATATAGGGTTATAGAGGGGAGTTACATAGGGGAGTATTATAGGGGTTACCAAGGCGGATACTAGGAGTTTAGACTATAGCTCCGAATTGCGTAGCCCTGTACACACAAATCCTGCACACTCTGACTATGTACCCTAAACCCTAAACCCCTAAACCCGAAACCCCCAAACCCCCTAATCCCTAAACCCCTAAACCCCTAACTCCTTTTGGAGCGCAGTTGAGGCTTGCCGGCAACTGGGAGATGCCAAGCGAGCACGGAACATTGTGGAAGAGATGGGCGAGCACAATGTTTCTGGGTTGTGACAGGGTTTAGGGTTCAGGGGCTTAGGGCTTAGGGTTAAGGTGATAGCCCCATGCCCCTAACAGCAATCAGTCCTAAAATAACTTGACCATCACATAGAAAAGACGTGGTCATAGTCACCTACGAGGAGTGGGGATGGACTATTCTGGGGGCTTCAGGGTACGTTCGGTTCAGGGTTCAGATCTGGGGTACTGTTATGCAACTCCCGAAGTGATCTACTCCGTGCCACTAGTACTACCTCACTATGTAGTCTGTCCTTTAAGTCCAAGCAATCCTGATTGCCAGAACAAATGTAAGAAACTGTCAAGCAAGTGTCAGGTCAGGTTTTGTATTTACGGAACCCCCAACCCTAAACCTTTCACCTGAGCAACCAAGGTGGTCCTGAGCCCTGCCATGTACTGCAGTCTGGTGGGGGTCTTCGCCACGGCGATGCGACGGCCCCACATCGCAGATGTGGAGAGGTCAGGGTTTCGCAGAAGAATATGGAAGTTTCCCGAAAGTAGGGATACCTAAGAGAGGTTCATATAACATACACATATATATATACACATGTGTATAAGGATATACCGGGCTCGGGGTTTTAGGTTTAGGGATTACCATTTAGGGTTTTCCAAAACCTGGGGAGTACACTTGTAGTTACTATGAGGCTACACCAAACCCATGCCATAGAGCTCGTTAGGATCCCAAATTGTACGCTCATTTTTTGAAACCTGTAGGTTGCAAAACCTCCGGCACGCTTCCGGGCAAGTTTTGAGCATGATTTGCATAATATGATTGGGTTGAAGCTGCATTTCGTTACCAGAAGTTCTTGAATTAGATTTTGCATTTTTTTCTGATTGCTTGAGTGGCCGTCAACATGAGGGAGCCCTCATGAATCGTGTGTATCGGATGGCTAAGAAGTCCCAGTAATTTCGATGGAGGTGCATGCAACCAGAGACCAACCAGGAACCATAATTCGGTTTAGCTTATATCACGTTGAACATAGCTTATATCACGTTGAACATAAGTTCCAAACGTGCCTTTAACAGTGATGGCCTATATACGCCGCTATATGATAGTAGTTTCCATTCATTGTCCATTATCCCAATATAACCGCAATATAGTATAGTAGTTTCCATTTTATTTTGTGCCCAGCTTGGATGGAGTCCAAAACCCATCCGTGAATTGTCCCCACACGCAAACCTCAAACCTGACCCCTAGACATCAAAACCTAACACTGCAAATACGAGTTTTTCTTCAAGCCTCAAGTCGCATTTGCCTCGAAATGCTATCCTCTCATTTACGCAGACATTCAAAAGCATGCCTGATCCTTAGATATCCAGTAGATCCCCAGCCCTGGGCCTCACACGCAGAGACCCCAACCCTACAACCTCTACCCTAAACTGCTTCTGAAACCCTCGAGCCTCAAACCCAAAAAATCCCACATCTACATCAACAGCACAGCTTTAAAGCGCTATTTACAACTCAAAACCCAAAGCCCACATGAACTATAGTCTAAACTCCTTAAAGTGGGTCATATAGCTTGTATAGGGGACTAGTATAGGGTTATTAAGGGGGAAACTAGGAGTTTAGAACCCTAAACCCTAAACCCAAATCAAAAGCACAACTAAGGCGTGGGGCGTCGTCTCCGCCGCGCGCGAGGCGTACGCGAACAAGCTGGACTGGGTGAAGCTGTTGAATGAGGTGGGTACACTCCCCCGAGCTAACATGGAAACTCATATAGCCCCTTTTAAAGGGCCTGTAGTCTTCATAGGGTTATTCGTGGGTTTCCATGTTAGTTTCCGGGAGGGTAGGGGTCCAGCGTGTAGGTTGATTTAATGTTATATCGGGCTTATATAGGGTCATATCGGAATAGGGAATGGAACTTGGAACTACTATTTCTGGTCTAGGGTTTACGGCTGTAGCGGTAGAGGTTGGGGATTAATTTCGGTTGCACAATAGAGCGGTTTCCTCAGGACTACATGGTGGTTCATGGGGATGAAGGTTTCCGGGGGTCTTCTTTTTTGCGAGTGCCTGAAAAAAAGGATTGTAGTATGTCGGGGACTAGATTGAGTTCGCTGTTTATGGAAAAAGCAGGTACCTGTCTGGGGTTCGGGGTCCACAGAATTCGGATGAGGCAGTGGAAGCCTTTCCCATCGAACGCTACCGGCCTAGCATGTGTTCAAAAATGTCGTGTCGGGGATAGTTTCATCCGGGTAGGAAGTATGATCGCAGTTGTGTTGAACGAGGCAAAGGTTCTTCATTTAGGTAGGGAGACGCTCAAGCCATGAACAGGTAGCTTCCTTAAGTCTTGTTTTCATTGCCTAGCTTCCTTCAGTCTTGTTTTCAGTGCCTTACGGTCGCTATTCCAGTTCGCATTAGTGCTGCTTCATATGACGTCTGGTTTCGGTGAGTGTACATAGGGTTCCTCAAAAATACTGTTGAATGCCTACAGGAGTTGTCCATTTGGGCAGGCGATAGATAAGAAAGAGAAGGGTCATCATACGAGCTATACTCTAAATCCTTTCAAGGGGTTATATGGGGGATTCTTAGGGGTTATCAAGAGAGATGCTAGGAGTTTAGACTATAGCTCATAGTGTAAGATTGTGGAGACGCTTTAGGGTCCAGGGTCCAGAAGGGCTTTGCGAGTTTTCATCTGGGCCTGCGTTGTTTTGGATCCATGTGCCCGCGCCTACACTCAATTAGCGCATGGGAGTTGAACAGAGGATGTAGGGGTTGAGAAGGCATAAGTTCGTTGACAGCCCGCTCCAGTTCTCACATTGGCTAATCTCAGTGCTGCTAAAGTGAGTTCGATAACAAGAGAAAGGTTCAGGCTCAGGATTTGTTTTTGGGAAGGGTTCTGTTTGGGGTTTGGCCTCTTTGTAACAGTAGAAGCCGATATCAGAAACCTTGTGGAGTCTAAAAGGTGCTACAGTATATGATACATGAGGATTCCTGTGCATTTTGGTGCCGTCTGGTGAGCCTTTCACTCGCTTGGGAGCACCTCTTGACCCTCTTGATCCTCGTAACAGCCTCAATGACTCAACACACGCACACGCGGTGTAGGATTGAGAATAAGCACTTGGAAGCATACCTTCTAACTGACAGCTAGAGGCCGGCTGCACCCCCGTCAAGAATGCGGGTTCCTAATAAAGGGTTCACTTTGATTTCATACATGTAAGCCCTTCAACTCTCCATGGAATCCCCATGTCGCCCAAAAAGCGCCCAAGAAGTGGGCCAGATTCTTGTTGATCCGAGTAGAACCAGTGAGTGTGTAAAGCAGCACATAGCTCCTAGAATGAGAACAGATTATTTCGAGGAATTACTCCCAGACCTTCATTTGAAACCTGGCAGCCATAAGCCCATAACCCTATACCCTCCAGCCTAAACCCAACAACCCTAAACCAATAGTTACATACCAACCCGCCATTCCTAAGCTCTTAAGCCTACATCGGCAGGTCATGGCTGTCTATGTTGCTGGAGGCTTTTCAGACTTTGCTTTGGACATGCTTCCGCAGCGCCCCGGTCATGGTTGGATTACGGGTTTTGGAAAGAGTTGTGCAACAGCTTGGTTGACGTGGGGAAGGTTTTCGAACATGAGTATAGTTTAGGTGGACCCCCCACCCAGGAATAATGACTGCAAGGGATAATAGGGATTATATTATATCAGGGTCCTCATAAATCTATATTATACTACTATCACGGGGTGGGGGGTCCTCCTAAGTTATAATATTGGGGGGGGCTTCGGTCCTTGGCCCGGTAGATAGACTTTTGGTTTGAAAGTGCAGGGTTTCAGTACTCTCCTTAGGAACTTCTTTAAAATTTTTCTTATAGCATAAACCTAAGGAGTTATTGAACATAATAGTTCTGTCTAAGGAGGCTACAGGTTTTTTTTGTCTGGATTGTAGATCCAGACTCCTTCGTATATGCAAGCTGCACTCAAAGAGTCCCCTTGAGCAAGGCTCTTTGAACGATTTCTGAGTTGGCTGCCTTAGACAACCCCTTTGCCCCCTTCACCCATGTGATCTATTTGGATCAGCGCGAAATATTTCAGAGCCGGTTGACAAACCCATGATTTGGAAAATCTATACGCTGGGCTCTCCATGTCAGAAATTCCTAAAATCCTATCCTCTACAGCACCAGTTTCCATGTTCTTTTCCATTTGATTCTCCAGTATAGGGGTAAGAACAGCCCAATGAAGGTATGCGGTCTTTGGTGTGGAGCCAGACGCGGACACTTGGGAGCATCTCCTTCGCATCTGGGCCTTCTTGGGAAAGCTTTACGTCAAAGTTCACGGAGGCCGGCGGCCTTGTTTTTCGCACAAGTTTGCATCGAAAACCCCACTCGCCCCGAGCCCAACGGGCTCAAGTGATGATGGATAATCAGGGGGGTTTGGCAACCCAAACCCCCAAACTGAGGATGTTGTTGCGTCAGTTGAGCTACTGTCAATATCAGGGCCGTTAAGGGTGCACATAGGGTCCCTTTGGTAGTTTTGTACAGTCCTTTATACATCTCCTAATCAGAACCCATGTCCATGGAATGTATAGAAATGTCGGCTGTAGCTCACATGAGAGTTAGAGGGTCCGTATTTTGGCGCTGGGCTCCCCTAAATCCCCTTCCTCGCCTGCAGAACCCCTGTAGATTCCCAGTTTCCACTTCAATGTCCCATTTGGTTCTGCATTGTTTGGGGTCATATTCAAAATCTCCCAGAATTTCTGTAAATCCACCCTAAACCCCAAACCCTGAATCCTAAATCAATTCAAGGCATGCTTGGAGAGCGGGACATTGGCCGTTTCTTCACGCTCTGGCAGAGCGTGCCTAAGCCGCTGGTCTTGAATCTGACGCTGGAATTATGGGGCTCCCAGAATGGGTTCAGGGTTTAAGGGTCAAGCTGGTCCCTTGATCTTGGGGACCCCATAAAACGTTATACGTCCATTACATATCCCCTAAAACCTTACTCAATTACGGGACAATAGTTAGGACCCAGGAAATAGGTAGAGACCCATCTCTTGGTTGGGAGCCTAAACTACCCTAAACCTTGAACTTCGATCCTGTTTGACAGACGGAAAAGTCCAAGGGCTTTAAAAAGCTTAGATCCTGTCAGGATCCAGAGTTTAGGGCTTAAGGGCTCGAACTTGAGAACTTGGGGATTAAGAGGTCAGTCCTGGGTTAAAGAAATGGCTTGGGGTATATGGTTGAGGGCTAGGACAAGGGAGCAAAGGGCTTTGAGTTTAGGGTTTAAGGTTTAGGCTCCAGGAATAGCAAGATTGAGGCTGTGAACGATCATCCCTGATTCATGAAGTCATCATGACTCTGAGCTGGTCCTTGCCGCACGATGATTGAGGGGGTGGTTCTTAAGGAGCCTGCGAGGGAGGGACCGTTGGGAGTACAATTCCTTAAGCAAAGAACCTAATGGGAACCTACCTCATGCCCATTCTGGGGATATATTATTGTGGTTTGCAAATTTTTTTGGGGTCGCTATTTGGTGGCCGCCATGAAGAAGGACCACGTCTGTACTGGGCCCCCCAAAATGGAACCTCAGCGTAGTGGATCTTGTCCTCAAAATGTGCTCAAAAAGGGTGGCCTAGTTATTTGGGCTTCCGAAGGGGCTAGGTAGAGGTTAGGAGGACCCCCCCCTGCAATAGTGGTATAATAGGAATATAAGAGGACCCTAATATAATCCCTATTCTCCCCTGTAGTCATCAGTACTGGGTGGAGGGTCCACCTAAGGTAGCGGTGATTTTCTGCGAAATGCTCCAAGCAAAAGCCAGGCGATGCCTGTTGACAGCCAAGAC